CTCCCTCCCCTCCCCTTAAACTCTGTTAAGGGCTATAATTAGCTTCTGGTTACTCTCCCTTCTTCCAAATAAAGGTATTCAAAAGGTCAATTGATAGGTAAAATGCTCTTGATAATCAGGACAAATTTGGGCTCCAGGGAATCCCCACCCAGTACTCTTCAATACAAGTATTGGAAATACTAAATGCCTTGGAAAAGCCCTGGAAGAATGTCGCCCAGCAATCATTCGTTTATACTGGTTGATATAAAAAAAAAAATGGATGAGTTTAAGTTTAAACTCCCCCCAAAAGGTCAACAAGTTTGGGTATTACCAAAAGTGTAAAAGAATTATATTGTTTTAAAGAAAAAAAGCTTAGCTAAAAGGTTTTTGGTTCTTATTAAGCATGGGGATTATTAAATTCTGTTAAATCTTCTCTCTAGCATTGACCATGTGGTGGATGTGCCATCTTGGCATTGTGGTAGCTTAGTTGCTGTTTTGTACCAACTCGATTTTTGACTTGACTTGATTCTGTGACCCTCCCTGCCAACATGGTCAGCCCAGGCACCCTCATGCCAGGCTGCAAGTCTCTTCATGTCTTGTCTCCTGTTTACTAAAAGGTTCCATCATAATTAGGCAAAGTAATACTGCTAAAATTTCAAAAACTTTAAATGGCTGATTTTAAAATCTAAGCATGCTCTGTAGTACCAGGCCGTAGACCCTCCCCCCCCTCGCCAAAGACCACTAGGGGGCCCTCACTGATGTAAATATGGGAGAGTAGTTTATTAGACCTCAAGCCTGAGGCAGCAGGCCAGAAATGTGAACCCAGGACCCCTTGCCCAGCAGGGTTTTTATAGGGAACATGAACCAGAGGGAGGGGCCATTACAGCATTGGTTGTGTGGGGTTATGTGATTGGTTGGCGATTCCAGGGTGAATCTTGCACTAAATTGCTTCCCACTAGAGTTGGGGGGTTAACCCGTCAGGCCCTCTGACCTCTTGGTCTGTGCTGATAATGTTACATTGTCTTGGAGCAGGCTCTAACACGTATCCTCCAGTAAACAGATGACAGATGTTTTCCTTAAAATTTCCTTACTGCCGAACTTATTTGTGGTCTTTCAGCAATATGATCTGTGCACAAACACATCTGTCTGTCTGTCTATATGTAAACAGTTATGATTTCAAGATTACCAAGTATTCTGCTTGCTAAAAAGAAAATCCGTTGTCAATGGAAGCTGTGATTTAATCTGAGTTGGGTTTTTGGTTTGCCAATTTTGAGACCTGACTACAAAACAAAGAAAAACAGGCAGTTTTAAAAGGCCTTGGAAAAGGAGTTAGAAAAGATGGTTTCCTTTGCAAGGTAAATGAAGTTGCTAATTAAGTTGGTTGTGATTTATGTCATTCCTTATGTCCATCTATGCTAAAAGTTAAATATTGCACCTCTGACCACAGCTCGTAAACTAAGGCTAAGGTTGTGTTTCTCCATTTTCTCCCCTGTGCACCGATCAACTCTCTTTAAGATCAAGGAACCAGAGTGACTCAAGATGCAGTATGCTCCTGTGCATGGTAAATGCCCAGGAAACAGAACAAAGTTGCCACAGCTGCCTAAACCAGTGGCATCAGCCTGCAAAAGCCAGTGTGAACTAGGTCTGTAACCAGTGTATAGAATTTTGCAGGTAACCAGCGGGAGGTGGAAAATCCATACACACTAGGAGATGCTACAACTCACCCAGACTCTGTCCCTGCTCTGTCACACATGACCAAAAGCCTGCTAATTTGGGGTAAAAAGAGAAAGATTAGTATAAGGTTTATTAGAGGAGCCATATTTCCCCCCAGAGGGAGCACATGGCATGGCCTCATGCATGCAAGACAAGCGCTCTACCACTGGGCCACCTTCCCAGCCCTAAACTGCATAATTCTTTAAGCACTTTGGTGCATGAATAATTTGGTAGAGTTAATTTGGAACATCTAGTTGGACATGGTGGCTCATGCTTGCAATCCTAGCTATTTTGGAGGCTTAGATCAAAAGGATCACATTTCAAAGCCAGCCTAGGCCACAGACAAATCAGGTTGTGAAATTCCATCTCAGTGGAAGAGGCTGAGCATGGTGATGTGCACTTGTCATCCTAGTTATTGTGGGAAACATAAAGTAGTAAGACAATCATGGTAAGACCCTGTCTCAAAATAACCAGGACAAAAAAAGGTCTGGAGCCATGGCTCAGTAGAGTACCTGCCAAGCAAATCACACAGCCCTCAATTCAAAGACAGTATCACCTATTTTAAAAAAAAATTAGAGGCTCTGTTATTTATCAAGCAGTCTTTAAAGTATTGAGATTATTTCTTCAGTTGCTTTTCTTTTTTCCCCCCTTGTGCTTGGGATCAAGTCTAGAGTTTATTGTGTATGATAGGTAAGTGCTCTATGACTGAGCCATACCCTAAGTTTCATTCAGTTATTTTTCTATCCGTTCTTCTAATGGCCATGGTGGAATTGAAGGGGAAAAACAACAACAACAAAAAAGCAATGTAGCGTTTCACTGGACAAATAAACCAAATGAATTACAATTTTGTCATTTTAAGTACTGATAAAACAGATTTATTTTCATCACCAAAGCAAATGCTCCTCTGATTTTTGTGACAATGAGTTCTGAATTATTTATGACTAGAAAGCAATCACTGCGCAGGTAGAAGAAAAGCGCAGAAAAAAACAACTAGAAGCAGAACAAAGAAGGAAGGAAGAACAAGAAGAAGAGCAACGCTTATCACGGGAACAAGAAAAGATGCAGAAACAGTATGAAGAGGATATCCTTAAGCAAAAACAAAAGGAAATGGGTATTTACATTTAACTGTTAGCATTTTAGAATTAATAGTATATGTTTTCAGAGGAATAATAACTTTGAAGTTATGACACTTGAACTCAGGGCCTCTTGCTGTCTTGGCTTTTTGCCTTAAGTCTCGCACTCTACCACTTAAGCCACACCTCTATTTCCAGCTTTTTGCTGGTTAATTGGAGGAGGAGTCTTTCTTCCCCAGGCTGGCTTTGAACCAAGATGCTAAGAGTTCAGCTTTTTCAGTAGGTAGGATTATAGGCATGAGCCACATCCAGCACTACAAGTTGTATTTTGAAGTGATGAAATACAAGTGGAGGCATTAAAATTTTGAATAAAAAATTGGGAAAATAAGAGAGACTCTTAAAAATGTTTTATTTCTTCACATGATAAAGTTCTGAAATGCTGTATTAACTGGCCTTTGTGCAAATGGAGGAGGTCAAGATGAATTATAGCATAATGCTAGTCATCCATATATGTGGATTGTTATCTCCTACATATTAGAGGTGTGTAGACTTCATTTGTAAACCATGATTATAATGTAATTCTGTATAGAAACGATGGGCATTTCTATCCTTATCTACCAATGAAAAAAGAAGCTCCTTTTGCAAAATGGTTGGGATTGATGAAACAATCGGTGGCTGTATGAGTAGTCCTTTTGCTAAAATAAGAGCCAATTCAAAGAGAGTATCTCAGTAGCTAGGAGAGCTTTTCTATTAAATGATTTAGATACAGGAAGTAGAGTGTTGTCAGGTGCCATGATTGAGCCAACTCACAAAGAGCAATCATATAGTGGCATTCAGTTTCCAAAGACTAAAAGTTTAGCAATACAATAGTTTCTTATCTTTTCCCACTTGGCACTCAATGAATATTGGCTGGTAAAGGGACATGTGGTGTAGGTTCCCATTTCATTGACTTAAGTCATCTAAGGCTGCAACGTTTATGTGATAGCACGTAAAGTCCATAAATACTGTATTCTTTGAATATTTATGATAATCACAAGGATCCAGACAAGTGCCTGACATCCAGGAAAGCTTAGGAAATACTGAGAGTAGTCAATTTAATAACCATATACATGAATATGTTGTTAGGAAATCATGACTCTCAAGACAAATGAGCTATAGCAAAAAAAGCAGAGGGCTGGGAAGGTGGCTCAGTGGTAGAGCACTTGCCTTGCATGCTCAAGGCCCTGGGTTCGATTCCTCAGCACCACATAAGCAAAAAGAAAAAAGCCGGAAGAGGCGCTGTGGCTCAAGTGGTAGAGCACTAGCCTTGAGCTGAAGAGCTGAGGGACAGCGCCCAGGCCCAGAGTTCAGGCCCCACGTCCGGACCCAAAAAAAAAAAAAAAAAAAAAAAAAATGCAGAGAGCACAGGAGTTAGCACAAAGACTGAAACAAGAACAGAGAATCTGAGCATTGGCTCAAAAAGGACATGATACTTCTAGATTGATGAAAAATCTTGATGGTAAGTGATTAACCAGAACTTCATAATTTTTGAAGATGATTTTAACCACTTGTCTATTTCTAACATTATTTCACAATAAAAAATTTTTAAGGAACTTCAGCTCTTCAGCTAATCTAACTTTAGTAAATAGGAGTGCTTTTAGGAAATAATCTTAGAAATAGAGTTAAGTAAGTTTTCAGTATCTTTTTACACATAAGTTTTTCTTACATATTGTCTATAGCAATCATGACACTGATAAAATAAATTTGTATGCATTTGTACAAAGAAAGCAGTTACTGAGGGGCTGGGAAAGTGGCTCAGTGGTAGAGCGCTTGCCTTGCTTGCATGAGGCCCTGGGTTCCATTCCTCAGCACCACATAAGCAGAAAAAGCTGGAAGTGGCGCTGTGGCTCAAAGTGGTAGAGCGCTAGCCTTGAGCTGAAGAGCTGAGGGACAGCGCCCAGGCCCAGAGTTCAGGCCCCACCACCGGCAAAAAAAGAAAGAAAGAAAGAAAGAAAGAAAGAAAACACTTACTGAGTGATCTCTGTAAATCCAGTAATGGGTAAGAATGCAAGAACTTTTTAATGAAATTTTTATTGCAGCATTCATTCTGAGTCAAGTCCTGTGTTTAGTTACTGTATGTATTTACTTTTTTTTCACTACTGAATCAGACCTAGTCTTGCAAGGTAGGCAAGTACCACCACTAAGCTACAATCCCAGTCTCCTACACATAATTTCTCTTAATAATGCTGTGTATCATTTGAAAAATATTTTTTCCTATTGCAAGTGGATGATAAGGTGTCCCCTAAGATTTCAAGCTCAAGACATGACTCTGATGAAGCTGGCAGCAAAATAAATACATGTATCAGTTCTACTACTTCTCCCAAGAAAGATACTGGTGTGCAAACAGGTATTCATATCGAAATTTTTATTTGAAATTTCCTTAATGCCAAAGCATTAGCACTGAGTTCCATTTCAAGTGTAAAACTTGTGATTTATGAGAAAATAAAATGAGCTATTCTTTTTTTTTTCCACTGATACTGGCTTGAACTCACCACCATAGCCTTTTGCTTGTTAACTGGAGATAAGGAGTCTTATACAGAATTTTCTGCCCCAGTTGCCTTTGAGCCGTGATCTTCCAGGAATCACGGCATCCTGAGTAGCTATGATTATATATGAGTGAGCCCCCAATGCATCTCTTGGTTTTTAATTTTTTGTACTAGATTTATTTCAGATATGAGTCACAAATTTACCACCCTCACCCCCGCCCAGGACCTTACAGGTTTAGCAAATGGTTTACCATTGAGCTACAGCTCCTACCCAAAACTTACCCTTTCATGGGCATAGTTAGCATTTTTCAGTATATTCCTAATAATTGAGCAGTCACCATCATTATAGAACTTTTCCCTCACTCTGATCTAGTAACCCATTAAGTTAGCAGGGGAGTCTCTTCATTTTCTGGTTTGCTTGTTCTGCACATTTCATGTTACTAGAATCAAAATGTTCCTTTGTGTCTGGCTACTCTGCTTTAGGATAATGGCAGTAAGTACATTATTCCTGAATAGTATTCTGTTGTATATATAATACATTTTGTTCTTCATGATTTGATGGACGTTTATTTGTACTCCTGGGCTATTGTGAATAATGTTGCTTTGAACATTCATGTACAGATTTTGTGAAAAAAGAAAAACAGAATTTCTGGATCATGTGATAATTCTTCCAAACTGTCCAGACTCCAAAGCAGTTATCCAGCCATCAATATAATAGGGTTCTAATTTCTCCTTGTGATTGCCAACACTTGTTATATGGGGGGCATATTAAGTGGTTCTGAATTGTATTTCCCCACCAATTGTATTTTATGAGCATCTTTTCATGTCTGGTTTTCAATTCAAATCATCAGGCAATGTCTTGGGTTGGAAGTCAGTGGGTTTTTTTCCCCCTCCCCACTCCCCTTGGTGGCCCATGCCCTGTAATCTTAAATATTTGGGAGGCTGAGACTGGAATACAGTAGTTCAAAGCCAGCCTGGGCAGACAAGTCCCCAGGACTCTTTTATCTCCAGTTAACCAGCAAAAAACTAAAAGTGGAAATGTTGTTGAAGTAATAGAGTGCCATCTTTGAACAAAAAGTCCAAGCAGGGGCATAAAACCCTGATTTCAAGCCTCAGTACTAGCACAAGAAAAAAGATTAAGTAAGGCCTCAAAGACAGTGTATTCATAGCCTCAATGAATATGGTAGTAAAAAGTTGTATATACTATATAGTGGAATTCGCTTTAGTAAGAAATTGATACATGCCATTGACTAAATGTTATGGCAAGTGTTTAAGCCATTTACAAAACAATATAACTCCATTTACTGGGATATTATCTATAGTAGTGAATGTCTAGAAACAAAGTAGCATACTGGTTGCCACTGGGGCAAGTAATGAGAGGTGGGTAGTTTCAGTTTTAAAATTAGAAGTCTTAAAGTGTAACTAATAAAATTGTTTAACATTTGAGAAAAATGATAGAAGTGGTAAACTTTTATATGTCTGTTTAAAAAGTCATCATCTTTTTTTTTAGATGACTTAATTACAAGAAATTTCACTAACACATTATCACACTGTGGATCAGTGAGAGAAAGGGAAAATACACCTTGTTCTTCTCCCCAGAGTTCTGTAGAATTTCATGGACAGCTTAACACTAAGAAAGACAAGCAAGAACTAAATCAGGATAGAGTAGGCAACTTAGAAAAAGAAAATAGCTGGTTTAATGAGCAATGTAAACAGTCTATAACAGAGAAATAAACAAAACTCATGAAGAAATGTCCCACAAGGCCGACTTGGAATAGAAATAAGCCTCTCAAAAGGTATGTTCCAGCATCAGAAAAGTACCCTAAACAGCTTCAAAAGCAGAGAGGAGAAAAAAAAGTAAGAAGACAGATGGAACTGCTTCAATTGGTAGAGAAAAATAATTCTGAACACCTTTCTCAAAATAGAGGCACTTCACCAGATTTTCATTCATCCTATCCAGAAGCAGAGTCAAAAACCAGGTGGCATCTAATGAACAAGGCAAAGCTCCTCTTTCTCATTTTTAAACATGCATGAATCTCTAAACTCAAAACACAAATCTCAGCTGGGAATGTGGCTTGATGGTAGAGTGCTTGCCTAGCATGCATGTAGCCCTGGGTTTGATTCTTCAGTACCACAGAAAAAGCCACAAGTGGTGCTGTGTCTCAAGTAGTAGAGTGCTAGCCTTCAGCAAAAGCAGCTCAGGGACAGTGCCTAGGCCCTGAGTTCAAGCCCTAGGACTGGCAAAAAAAAAAAAAGAAATTCCACAATTTTCTATAGACATGCATGTTTTGGTTTGATAGAGTTCTTGTTTGTTTAAATGAGTTCCAAAATTTTATGTTAGGGGTTAGCAAACTAGATTCTATTAGCAACTCAGTCTGCTATGTTTTTTGTAAACAAAGGCTTATAGGAATACAACCATACTTGTTTTAATAATCTTTTTGTGAGTGACTTTATGCTGCAAGACACCATGTATGGCTGTAAACGCTGACATTTTATTTACTACTTGGCCCTTAAAAGAATCTCAAAAGTGGGCTGGGAAGTTGGCTCAGTGGTAGAGCGCTTGCCTTGCATGTATGAGGCTCTGGGTTCGATTCTTCAGCACCACATAAGCAGAAAAAGCCGGAAGTGGCCCTGTGGCTCAAGTGGTAGAGCTCTAGCCTTGAGCTGAAGAGCTGAGGGACAGTGCTCAGGCCCAGAATTCAGGCCCCACAACCGACCAAAGGAAAACAAAAAAAGCCAGACTGCACTAAATAGCCAGATACATACATATACAATGAACAATAACAACAAAAAAATCCTTGTTTATAGTCCATATAAGTAACCAGTTGGAAGATAAGGAATTTTTTGTTTGACTGTGAAAAAATACCTTTCTCACCAACATTAGAAATAGATTCAAGTAACATAAGTATGTGGTTTCACTTGAAAATGCTATATACTCTTCTCTATACATATCCTTTTAGGAAAAAGAACCTATGAAAATTAATTCAATCAGTGAAGAAAGTTATGTGCATTACTTTTATAGGTATATTCACTTTATGTTTGATTCTGAAGAGGTACAGAACACATGCTCCATGTCTACTAAGGTTAGGCATAAAGGTGAAGATAAAAATGTGAAAGGAGTAGGTACCAGATGAAGGTTAGTAGTTTAAGGGATAGGTTTTGGCTGGACTGGGATGAAGAAAAACATATGGATGACATTCTCCTATCTTCAGGTTTAGCTAAACAGTTTTTACTTATCTCATGTATGACCAGTGAAACAGGCATTATGCTTAGCTTATTGAATCAGGAAGAAGTAATTGGAAAGATAGTAACTTTTTAACTTCTTAATCTGTCTTTTGTGCGTGCATAAGCCAGCTGGTTTAGAGTTGCCTCATATTGGGCTTAGTTCAGGTGGTGAGGACATTAATTTATGAAAAATTATCTAAGGAGAAATGAGACTTGTTAGCCCAGATAGAATAGCAATTTTATTCCCCCTTTGTATTGAGTACATACATGTAGCTAGTAAAAATTCCAGTGAACTCCCTTTTTTTGCCTTGTTTCATATATGAAACTTTTAGACTTTAGGCTTCCTTACATGATATTCCTAAAGGTGTAATTACATTTCAAATTATTAGAGATGTAATTAATTAAACAGATATGTTTATTTTAAAAACAAAATTTCTTATTCAAGCTTTTTGGTCTGTTGTGCCTTTTTTTTTTTTTTAAAGGTTACAGTCATCACCAGTTCCAGCAATAAAAAACAGAACCCAACAAACTCAGACGGATAGCTTACACTCACCACTAAAAAATAGCCTCAAAAGAGAAACAGTGTCAGAAGATGGTGAAACACCTGGAGTGTTTGAACCATCCCATTTTATTCCTTATGTTCGAACAAATGAGATATATTACCTGGATCCAGATGCACCCTTGTCTAGGCCTTCGACTGATCATGGCAAGTAAACTACATATTGTAGATCTAGGAACCCCCAACCCTAAATTCACTTCTAAAGAATTTCTACCTCTAGTTCTACAAAGCATCTCAGCTGCACTTTATAAATCTTTAAGACTTTTAGAGTATGTATGTGAAGCTTTCTAGGAAATAAATTTACTAATGAATCTTACAGCAAACTATTTAGAAATATATTTGGCTTTTATAAATTTTGTCTGGTTTCAGATTGCAACCAAGAGCAACGACTTGCTCTTAGTTCTGTCAGGGATCCACTTGTTAATCCTAACTTGGTAAAGAACAGGGATCGACAACAAGCAATTCTTAAAGGACTTTCAGAACTATGACAGGCATGAGATTAAAAACAAAAACAAAATAAAAAAACATGTGTGTTTTCTTTACATGTGGATGTGACATTAGGGAAATTTGCATGGCTAATTGTTTCTCTAGTTAATCTCAAATAAAAGGGGCCTTCCTTTGGATTTCCTTTCCATCTTTACAAATATTTTTTGGTGTGATGGTTATACATGCAGCACCTAAGAGGCAAGGAGGATCACAAATTCAAAGACCCTGTCTCATAATTTTTTTTAGTATGAAATCATGAGACAATCATTATACTGAGATAATTTTATTATTAGGAAATGTGTACATTTAAACATCCAAACATGATCAATAAGGCCCTAAAACCAAAGACAAAATATATGTGTTGTCAGCTTAAAACAGTGTTGTCTGTCCCAAAGAATGTAGTTGAATATGAAATGACTGGGTTTAATAGGCTCACTGGACATTTTCACACACCAATTATTAGGGCCATGCTCTCTCGTTAAACAGGTTAATATCTACTATTTAAGATTATAGTAACTTTCCGCCACCTTTGAAGCTTATAACTGGACTTTAGTTCCAAGTTGGGTTTTATTAAATAAACTTTTTTTAAGAGTCCAGTCATATTCTAGTGTGTTAACATCTCCCGCTCCCCCCCCCCCCCACACCATTTATTTTAAGAAGTTGGTCATGTGTTACTCATTCTTTCCCTTTCTAAAACTAGGAAATCATTCCATACTTTACTTCCAGTTTTACTCATTTGAAAGACTTTGTGAAGTACCCTTAAATGTACCTATGAATTAACTCCTAAAGTATAGAGGAAGGAGTACGATGTACATATACCCATCAATATAGTGCCGACGCTTACTTTAGCAGAGCTAAACAATGCATGTTTCATTTTTTTTTTCAGGGACTTCTTCAAAAGCAAAAGGAGTTGGAAACTAATTTCATGTCTTTAGCTACAAATCAAGAAGAGTTTTAGTTCTTCATTTTAAATGTTGGAAGTCATTTTTGTCTTCTCAACAGTGCTCATTACTCAACTATTTTTTAATAGCCTAATTGGATTTCTTTTTTAAAAACTCATGTAAAACATGCACAATATGTAATAAAATGCTGTGATTTTTTAAAAAAGTTAATAAAAGACGTTTTGTAAATGAAATAAAATTTGTAAAAAACCTAGTGAATTTTTTTCTGTTGCTTCAGTCTGGTCATTTAAAAATCCTATAGATACTTTCTACTTACCATAAAGTCTGGAGTTGCTGTTTAAGCTGTTGTCTTTCACGAACTCTTGAGGTGTAATAGGATTACTAAAAATTTAGCCAAGAGCTGGTGGCTCATGCCTTACAGACAGCTAAGATGTAAGGATTTCAGTTCAGAGACAACCTTGAGTGAAAAAGCCAAGTGAGAGAACAAGGCCCCGAGTTCAAGCCCTAATATGGGCACCAGAATAAATAACTAACTCTTCACTTTTACTAAATATCAAATATTGCTATTTTTTATAGCATTTATTTTAGAAACTACAGTTTCTAATGAGCTACCAGATAGCAATTTGTAGGCAGTAACTTTTTTTTTTTTGGGGGGGGGTGGTGGGGGAAGTGTCTGATCGTGGGGCCTGAACTCTGTGCCTGGGCTCTACCACTTGAACCACAGCGCCACTTCCGGCTTTTTTCTTTTTGCTTATGTGGTGCTGAGGAATTGAACCCAGGGCCTCAGGGATGCAAGGCAAGCGCTCTACCACTGAGCCACCTTCCCAGCCCCAGCAGTAACTCTTATCTGTGAATTTATTAGTACAGCACTATAATTTAGTAACTGGTAATTATACTAAGAGCCACATCTAAAATGTAGTCCCAGTTTTAAAACTGTTTTCAAATTATCCTGTGCCTTTGGCAAAAACAGGTGCTAATTATTAAAATTCAAAACAAGAATCACAGAAGTTCTGAAAATCCTAATTCCCCAGAAACTTCAGAAAATAATGCTGCTTGATATTATTATATACATAAGTTTATTACCTGGATAAAATTGCATTGTTAGATACATCTTGAGATATAGAACCAAAATCCTATAAATATTAACAGCAATGGCTTATACCTGTGTAAACACTATACAAAGGTTTTATCTAAAATAAATAGTTGACAATTTGTTTCAGCAAAATCTGACATGAGAAAAAATAAAAGTAAAGCCATTGCTGTTTACTATATTTCTATTAATATCTAATTTTACATAGAAGACAGCCTTCAATTTGAAGTGCAACTACAGGTAACAAATGTAAAACATAAAAAGTGCCAACATGAGATAATTCAAGTACAATTTGTTAAAAAATATATATTTATTTCAGTTTTTAGATGCTTCAGATGTTACAGGTCATCATGATTTAAATATGAGGGGAAAACATTTTAGAAAGGATAAGAACCTTTTGTTTAAAGAATGAAATATAAATTGTTCATTCACTTTTAAGAAACAAAGTTCACAATAACCTATTAAAAAAAAAACAATCATTTTTTCCCCTTAACTTAATGGAGATTTCTCTCTAGTGAAGCTTTTTGTAAGAAGATAAAATTTTTCATTTTCTTGAGACTGATTTGATGAAAGGGCATATGGTGTCCCCAAAAATGTCTGATGAGTAAGAACATTAAAATGACTAAACTGATGGGACACATTTAATTGATTATGATAAACCCAAGAATGGCTATATGACTCTTGTTCTGAATTGCTGTCCTCTCCTTCAGAGCATACTATATGAATAGGAGCTCTCTCTTCACAATCAATTTGGTAAGTCTTATCTTCTAATAAACTTTTTTGCACGTCTAGAGACGATTGCAATTCAATTTGAATATTCTTTTTTTGATCTGTTCCACTTGATCCTTTGGTCTCTTTCGCCAATATTTCTGAATGAAAACTGCTGAATACTTCTATATGTGAGATTTCATCCCCTGAATCCAGAGACATATCCTCTTCGTCCTTTTCATCGTTTTCTAAAAGAGCTACATTTAAAAAACAAAAAGTCCTCCTCTATTGAAATACACGGTATGTTTAAGTTTTAAAATTATACACTACTCACACAATATAATGCGTCAGGATCTGCAAGTCCACAATCCCTTAAAGCTTGGTCTTCTGCCACAAGTTCACTTAGTCACAACACTCACACTAGATGTGAATGTCCAGATAATCCGATGCTACAAGCTTCTGCGAAATGTGTTCACGTTTAATGTTGGGAAATCCCAACTCCCAGCTCCAAAGGGGTTAATGTCAAAACAGCATCTAAAGTTATACGGTAATTCAGTATTTCATAAGACAAATATAAAATAAAAGTTTTGACATGTAGCTTTATTGAATTAGTAAATTGGTTAGCTCTATTGAATGTTCGTTTAATTATCTCTGCTTTTTAAAAACAATTTTAAGTACAGCCTTCATTTTACATAAAGTCTGGAACAAAAGCAGAGGCCATCTCTTCAGCTCTTCTGTGAGATGACTGATCTTTCTGTGAGATGACTGATCTGTACTGTCTTGTAATTAAATTGATTCCTACACAGAGGGAGATTTAGTACCCCAAAGCTGAATCCCTATATCTGGGCTTTCTACTTTTCTTAATTGAAACCCTTCACTGACAGTAACAGTCAATAAAATTTACATACCTTCAAAGATAAAGGTATCTTTTCAAAGTATGCATAGTCTACAGTACAGACAAATGCACACAACTTTTTAACAACTTTAATACAGTATAATAGATGAGCAGATCTTGTATATGCTGTCTTAGAATGGCAAATGCCTCAAAACACTTCCCCTGTTTTTACACTGGAGTGAATGGTTTCAAAGTATTTCACTGTGACTAACAAAACCATTCTCTCTACCTTAAAGTAAATGAAAGCTACTGAAAAGTTACCTGACTGGGACTCAAGATTCTCAGTAGCACCAAGCGATGGAACAGTTTCTTCTGGGATTAAGTTGTGATAGCCCACAAGATTTTTGAAGTTTTGCATAAAGTCTTCAGTAGTTGCAACAACTATTCCATTTTCTGGGTAGTTGGAAAATATCTTGATATTCTTCTCTAAATTAAAAAAAAAAGCTTCAAGAATATAGCATTTGTAAATATATACAATTGTAATAAATACATCTATTATATATTATAAATATAGCATTGTACATGGACAATAATGTCTGCCCAGTGTTCAACAAGCCTCTCTCCTCCACATGTTCAGAATCAACCACAACCATTCATGTTCCTCAAAACCCATCTACATTCCTTTGTTGTAGTAGAAAGCTTAACAATACCCTCTACCTGTTAAAAAGACGATATGTCGTTGTTGTATGTTTTGAGCCTGAAGTCTGATAAGGCAATCCAATTCTGGAGCATTTCGAGTTTGTGAATCACAACTGTGGTATGATAAAATTTCAACTAAATGTTTCTTCTGATAGACATTGAGAAGTGTTAACAGACTAAGAGCTTTGGCATTTAACCTGTGAAAGTAAGCACAGCTTGTTATCTACATTTGCACTTACAGGCAAACCCATATGGGTGTGTGTTGTTGGTATAGGTACCTGAATCTCAACCAGGCATTTATTTAATAAATTGCATATTTTTAGCTTTATGATTTGAACCTTAATGAAAACATATAAGGAAAAACTTTCTGTTCTGCAAGGCAAAAGGCAATGGTTGATAGAAATTGTTATAGTTAGGGAGGTGAAGGTCTTGCTATTATTAGAAGTTACATCTTTGTGTCTCAGTAGTTATATTCTATAAAGACTTGCTTATTCCTACCTCCTAGGCTTTGAAGATGAGTAAGTTCTAAAACATAAATCCTACACAGAGCTAAACAAATATAATTCGTTAGCCCTGAATATCCTAAAAATTATGCCACAGAATGTCAAAAAGTATTATACAAACAAAGTTCTATGATCTAAGCTTAGGAAACATTGGGTACAAAAACAATTTCTAACTAGTTTCTAGAATCCTTTAATATATAAATATATAGAGAACTTCTTTTTTTCTTTGGGGGGGAGGGGGGCGGTCCAGTCGTGGGGCCTGAAC